TTCCGGCATCCTCTCTCTCTCTCTCCCTCTCCCTCTCCCTCTCCCTCTCTCTTTCCTTTTCTCTCCTCTCTCATCTCCCTCTACCTCCCATCCTCTCCCCCCCCCCAGCATCCTTCTCTCTCTCTCTCTCTCTCTCTCCCTCTCCCTCCCATTCCCCCTGGACCCCCACCCCTTCCTCCCTCCCTCACCCACTCTTTCCTGCCCCTTTGCTGGAGGAGCTGCCCGGACCTCGCCACCCCTCCCTGCCCACCCCCTCATTCATTCGGCCTCCCCAGGCCCCGTCGGGGAAGTTTGCACCTCTGGACTCCATTGCTTTGGTCGTTTTCACAAAGCCAGGCCAGCGGGGCAGGTCCGGCCAGCCGCAGGGGACACGGATGCCCAGGACCCCGGGCTAATCGGTAACTACAAAGAAAGCGGGGTGGGGGTATCAGGGAGCTGAGCCAGGCTAGTGGGGGGGTGGGCGCCAGCCTCCCCAGCCCTGGGTGGTTAAAATGCTATGGTTTGCCCTCCCCCCCCCACCCCCGCCGCCCATCCTCTCTGTTTGGATCAGCATCCCCCCTCCATTTCTCTGCCCTCCCCCTCCCTGCTTCCACCTTTGGCTCAAGTTAAAACTGGCCTAGCCTGTTAGCAATGTGTTGAGGTCTGAGGCCAAAGACGATGAGCCTGGACCGTCCATCTGGCAGAGCCCAGATCCTAAGGTGGACGGGGAGGCGTGGGCGACCCGGGAGCACAGTGGGGGAGGCAGGAGGGGTGGGGAGGCCTGCCCACCTCCCTCCCACCTGATTCTCCCTCAGATGGGATGCTGGGAGGAGGCGCCCAGGGACTGTGGCCCCAGCCCTGGGCTCAGATCATGGGCCCAGTGTCTGAATGACGGTGGCTTTGACGGCTCTCCCATCAGGGGTCGGTGACCGAGGGTGGGGACAGTGAAGGCTTTGTGCTGGACACCCCTGGCAGGACCCTGGAGGCTCCTTGGGGATGGAGCGGGGCTCATGACCTATTTCAGACCCGGTTGTCCCCCTTCTTCTCTGTGGCTGCCGTGGGAAGCATGAATACATGCTTGTTGGATGGATGGATGGATGGATGGATGGATGAATGAATGAGTGAATGAGTGAATGAATGAATGGGTGGATGATGGACCCGGGCAGGCCATAGGGAGAGTCTGTTGGGATGGACCCAGGGCCTGTCACTGTAGCTAGACCCTCCAGCTGGTATCCTAGGGGGAGGAAAGAAACCCCTCCCATCCCCCACCTCTTTTCAAATCCAACCATCACCAAAAAAAAAAAAAAAAAAAAAGGGGGGGGGGGGAAGCTTGGAAAATCGAATTCCTCTATGTGAACTAGGAGGGCAGAGGGCTCCCATTTGCCCATGAGTCAAGCTCAGGGGTCCATGGCTGCATGGAGGGCACTTTGCACAAGCCCCCCGCCCCCGGTACGGCCGAAGGGCCCATTTCTAGAAAGATTCTGATGGGGGCTGGAGGGGGTGTCCACGTGCCCCCCCAAATGTTGAACTGATAGGCTGTTGGTGGGCTCTGAGTGAGGGAAGCTGATGGGGTGTAGGGGGTGTACACACTGGGTGGCCCTCCTCCCTTTGCTCATTTTTAAATCTCCCCTGGACACCCCCCACCCCCACCAGGGGAAGGGACGGACTGTGGCTGGGTTTCCGCCTGGGCTGGAGCCTCAGTTTCCCCCACTGTCGGCAAAGCAGGGCCTCTTGAATGTCGGGTTATTTTTTTTCTGGCTGGGGATTGTTAGGCTTAGGGGCGTCTCGGGGTCTTTCCCAGAAGGGTGACAATTAGGCAGCCGGGTGTCCGTGACACCCAGCTCCCACCCCCCACTTCCCAGGGCCCCCCCCCCGGCTGCAGGGGGTGGGGAGGGGGACGTGTCCTCCCGCCCATCCTCCAACACCGGATCTCTCTCCTGACACCCCCTGTGCTGGGCCTGGCTGGGCCTCCCCTGTGGGAGGGAGCTGGAGGTGAGGGGGTCTCAAGGGCCAGCAGCTAGGATGATGGCTCCACTGCGTGGCCTTTGGCCAGTGGCTGCCCCTCTCTGGGTCTCAGCCAAAGGGAGGTGCAGTCATGAATGAGAAGTACAGGGGGTGTTCAGGCGCCTCCTGCCAACACTTCCCTGGTTTCATTTCTGGGGAGCCAATGGGCACAGGATGCCTGCTGTTGGCGCTGGCTGAGAGCAGCCAGGGCTGGGGGTGTGGCCCCGGCGGGGGTGGGGGTGGGGGGAGAGATTCCCCCCCCAGCCCCAGAGCCTTCTGGGCTCCCGAACACCAGGGGATCCCATGACGACGGACACCAGGGGAGCCAAAAGGGGCAGCAGCATGGGTCATCATCATCCGTGTCCTGACCATCATCTCATCCTTAACTGTCATACCTGGGGCCTGTTCAGTCCCCCACCGAAGGGATAGCCACTGGGGTGGGCTTGCGAGCATCAGCGCATTTCACGTGGAAGGGAAACTGAGGCCGGGAGGGGTCAGTACTGGCTCCCAAACACCCACCAGAGCCTGGGCCCTCACTGTCTCCCACCCGTGTCCCCTCCAACCCAGGGAATACAAAAGTACATCTGTGTGATGGAGGGGTGACAGGTTCCCCCCACCAGCCAAGAGTCGGGCCCCCCTCAAAGATGGTGTTGGGGAGGAAGGGGCTGTGGCATGAGGCACCCCGATGCCTGATGGCCTGTGGGGCCCCCGTGAGACCGAGTGACAGGTGGGAGGTCCAGCCGTGCCGGGGGAGAGGGGGGGCTCTGGGACCTGAGTGTCGGGGCAGGAGGCAGGGTGGGAAAGACAGGGTCCTCAGCAAGAGGGCAGGCCCTTGGGCGCTGGCTTGTTTTGTTTTTAAGATAAGGGATGGAGACAGAGAAATGATTTAGAGACACAAGGAGAGACCAGGAGAGACACAGCAAGAGCAGGAAAGGAGACAGACACACAGACAGAGAGAGAAACCGAGGCAAGTAGAGCCCCCCCCCCCCCCCCCCACACACACCCAGGGAGAGGCAGGGAGGGGGAGTCAGGGAGAGCCACGGAGAAGGGGGAGCAGGGAGGCTGCAAGGCCGCTTCCTCACTCAGACCAGAAAGGGAGCCCAGCCAGGAGCTCGGGCCGAACTGGGGGGCTCCCACCAGCCGGTGTCCCCATGTCCCCCCACCTGGCTCCGGCCAGGGGACATCTCCCGCAGAGGGGGCCCACGGGGGTGCCTGGCGTGGCCGGGCTGTCCCTCTCTCTCCCGATGGGGGCCGAAGGAGCCTCGATGCCCACCCCGCCCGGGGCAGGCTCCCACGATAGGGCTCTAGATAGGGCTCTAGGGCTCGGCAGCCACCGCCGAGAGGCCCCCCATTTATGGTAATCACATATGCATTTGCATGTTAATGACAATATTTGTCTTAAAGCGGAGGTTGTGAGGGGGGCCGGTGCAGGTGGGGGGGCCGGGTGGAGGCCTGTGGTTTCCATGGGAGCCCCAGCTGCTCACTCCGCGGCAGGAGGGGAGGCTGGAGCACGCTGAGCTCTGAGGCGTGAGATTCCGAGGGTGACGCGCCAGCCCCAGGGAGACGGAGGGCTGCCTGGCGGGGGCACCGAGGGAGGAGTTGTGAGCACGGCGCGTTGGGGGGGGGGGGTGCTGGGGGCCGGCCGCCAGGGCCGGCTGCCTGACTCTGAGCTGGGCGTGCCCCTCCCCGTGCCTCAGTTTCCCCAGCTGCCCGTTCTTCCCTGATTTAACCGGGGCCTTACAGGCCGTACTGTGACATCATGTCTGCCCTCCTTCGGGCAGAGAGTGTTGACTAAGCACCTACTGTGTGCAGCGTTCATGGGGAGATGGGAATCCGTGCAACCAGGCATCCCTGTGGATTCACGATGGGTTGAACAAGACACGAATCCATCTCCCCATATAACCAGCATTTATTGAGCACTTGCTGTGTGCCAGGCGCCGTTCCAGACCCAGGATATGATGTTGGGCATCACAGATTACCCTCCCCTGCCAAGACCTGACCTGCCTTCAAAGCCCAGTCTGGTAGGAGGGACTCAGTGAGGAAGGAGGAGGTTAAAGGCATTGATGTTCAGGCTGCGATGGTGGGAACACAGCCCAGAGGAGCCCCTGCAGGTGTGGGGACCAGGAGGGCTTCCTGGAGGAGGTGGTCAGTATAAAAGAGCAGTTCTGAGCTTGGCATTGAGATGATCTGGTTTCTCTAATCTTGCTGGCAGACCGTGCTCTCGCCCACAGGGTCGGGAGACAGCGGGGCTTTCACTCTCAGAGCAGTGGGGAAGGGGAGGACCGCGAGCCGGGCACAGAGTACATGCTTGGTCAGGAGGAGCTGGGCTTATCGTGGGACTGGGCTGACGCCTACAGGGTGAGAAGGATCCGTTGGTGGGGACAGGTGTTCCTGGCACAGAGAAAAGCATGTGCAAAGGCCCAGAGCAGTGCTACCTCTGGAAACTTCTGGCGAGGGGGGTGGGGGGTTTGCCCTGGTGAGAAAGGAACAAAGGGTCTTGGGAGCCCCAGCGTCCCCTTCTGTTGTGGGACTCAGAAGAGCCCGGGGGGGCTCTTCTGAGAGGCTCTGGCACTTGGGGTGTCTGACACAGGCTCCTGTCTCTCTCTTTCACCCTTGACATTGGCAGATGAGAGCCTGGCCACTAGG